TCCAGCCCTGGCACAAAAACTGTTTCCGATGTGCCAAGTGTGGGAAGAGTCTTGAGTCAACCACTCTGACTGAGAAAGAAGGTGAAATCTATTGTAAAGGTAAAATTAATTTCAGTTATTGCTACCCAGATAAATATCCTGCATTGGCTACTAGAGAAGGAAATGTCACCAGCATAAAGCAAAAACAAAACCAAAAGTACTCTGAAAATGAGGGAAAAGTAGGATAGTGCCACTGGGTATTTGAAAATACAAGATCTAGAGATGCTCACAAGATGAGAGGAAACCACAGAACATTTGTGATGATAGTGAGTTAAGTTCCTGGTCCTGTAAAACTCCCCTACAAACACAATTTTCAACTTAATGTTTTAAGCAAAGCATGTGAATATACGAAGGTAGTAGACAAACATACAACTCGCCTGACCTGATTTGCATACTTATAACCCAGTCAGGACCACGAACTGACTACTGTGGAACCAGAATGCCCGGACTTGCCTCTGCAGCTTTAAGACAGTTACTACCTGGCACATTTCACATTTTGAATAAGTTGAACTCTTTTTGGCATAGCCAGAGGTAGTTTTAATTTGTAGGGGTTTGTTGTTGGCCTTAAGCAGTGCTGCTGGCAAAGCTTAATGGACTTGTACCAATTCTTCCCTTTTCTTCTGTAGGATGCTATGCGAAGAACTTTGGGCCCAAGGGATTTGGCTATGGCCAAGGAGCAGGAGCCCTTGTCCATGCTCAGTAGAGGTGCAAACCCAGAATGGAGATCACACACTGAGAATCTCTGCAAAATCCAGGCACAGATTATCTAACACTAAACTACTGTGAAATTCTACCAGTACTTAAGTACTGTATGTTGCCCTGTACTTGGATAGGCCGGCGGACTAGGAAGAGAGCACTGTGGCCTTTTGCTTTTATTCATCAGCATGTCAAAAACCATGTCTTTTACATTTTAAATAAAACTTCAGCTTGATCTGGGTGTTCAGTGTCTCTTTCAGTTAACCTTTCGGAGGAGCTGTTGTGATCTTGGTTAGTGGAAAATCCTTTGGGTCCCCACCTGCATTTTTATTGGTTAAAGAGAGTCCACCTCATTACGCAGCTGACTCACTAGGTTAATGTTTGCATTATGGCAAGTTGGCCTCCCCAGCGAGGGTTGCTAGGCAACGGTACGGCCATCCCAGCTCTTCACAGCTGGCATTCAGCTGCACAGAATTCCTGCCTGCCTGCCCGATTCGATTCGAGCCTGGTGGTTTACTCATCTCTTGTCGGGAGCAGTCTCCTAAAGCATGGCCCCAGGTCCACCCGCACTATAGTCACCTGGGTGTTAAAAAGGCAGATCTTGAGGCCCCACTTCAGCCCTACAAAGCAGAATCTCTAGGGGTGGGGGCCACAGAATTCCTTCTAACAAGCTCCTCAGAAAGGCACACTGACCTGGGAGTGCGCACACGGTTAAACAAAACACTTAAAAATTCTATTGATTTATCTGTACCCAAAGATCATGGCAGTTACCTACAGACGGCTATAGAATCTGAGGCTTAGCGTGACTTTAACTTTTTACACCCCCCACTCTCATCTGATGGTTACTTACCAATCCTCGAAACGGGTGATTTTTCTCACAGATTTCAATTCTGCAGAATTAGCGCTGAATGTTGTGTTGTCCTGGCACATTCAGCTGGCTCAGGTAGAAAAGGAATATTAGACCATGTAAGGAATATTTTCATTATTTCTCCAGGAACTTTTAGTTCATTACCAAAGATTCAGTCCAACCATTTACTTTTCAGGGTAAGTGTGAAATGGGTCTGTAACGTGTTTGTAAAATTGAATCAGCCAAGTCTTTGCACACATCTTAATCTTCTAAAGCCTATTTTAACATAGTTTTACTTATTTTGAAAAGCTAAAGGGGGTGTGTTATGTATGATATATATTTATATATATAAAAGCAGAAACTTAGTGGGAAAAAGTTGATTGAGGGTATACTAGGGAAAGAATTCATAGCCTTGAGCACTTCACATGTTTCAGAAGGCACAGTACACCATGGGAGAAGGAAGGGCCTTTCTGCTAAGCGTGCTGCGGAATTTAATTGACAAAGGGACTAGGCTGAACTTAAGAAGAATTATGGAGTAAATTCTGATTCATTCTGTGGTAGTTTTAAACATGCACATAAATCCTTTTGATATTCCCATCAAAAGATGGAGTCTAATTCCCCTCCGTTTGAATAAAGGTCAATCTTAGCGATTCATTTTTAACTAACAGAGTGTGATGGACCAGGCTAGATTAGAAAAGACTACAGCTTTTGCCTGCCTCTTTCTCTCAGGATGCTTACTCTTGGAACTCAGCCTTGGTGTTTTGAGGAAGCCCAGACGACATGGGGAAGCCACATGTAGGTATTGCAGCCGTAACCTCATCTAAGATCCACCTCATCAGCCAGTATCAACCAACAGACGTGTGAATGAGTGAGCATTCAGACTGTTCCAGTCCCCAGTTTTTGAACCATCCCAGCTGACGCCAAGTGGAGTGGAGTGAGCAATTCCTGTTGAGTCCTGATTAAATTGCAGATCTGTGAACAAAAATACCATTTTAATCCACTAAATTTTTTGGTGGTTTGTAAAGGCAGCTGTGGACAACCAGAATGTTATATAATCCGTTCCCACACAGCCACCACTTCCCATACCTACCATGTTTCCCAAATTGTATTGGAGATGCCACCAGGTATCTGAGAGAAAAATGCTTTACGTGAGTTGTTACCTGATAATTAGAAATTTCTGCCTGATAAGGTTTAGGCCCCCACTCAAAATTAAAATTATTCTTAAATTGGGAGCCATGGCAAAACAGCTGCTCCAAAACTGTAGTAGCTTCTAGTGGTTCTAGGAGTGGGAAATGGAATTTGGCTTCGGGCAGGCTCTGTTCTGGGAGGAATCACTTTTATCATTTGTTTTTAAGTCAGTAAGCTAGCTTCAGAGTCCAAATGTGGTATTAAATTTCCTCATGGCAAATATTTTTGTTTAAGAAGTTCTTTTCGTTTTAAAAATGACCCACTTGGGACATTTTCAGCCCCTTGTGGTGGTCTCGTACATTCAGGGAGGACTGCTGGCAACTCCAGTTCTAGAAAGTCATGATCAATTAAGTTTAAGGAGCTATCTATCTACATAACTACCTACCTATCTATCTTCCTGTAGATTCACAGTACACACTAGCCTACTGAGGGCTTTGAGATCTTATGGTTAAGAAGTCTGTTTTAACTTGAAGAAAGCCTTGCACTGAATTTGTTGTCCATGGAACCACTAATATCTCAAGGAACACTGGGAAATGTTGGCCTAGACCATTGGTTCTCAAACTTTTGGGTCTCTGGACCTCTTTAGATTCTTCAAATACTAAGGACCCCAAAGGGTTTTTTTTTTTTGACAGTTAAATCTATCATTTTCTATATTAGAAGTTAAAATTTAAAAAAAATTAATTCAGACAAATTGTACAGCCAAATTGAAGTAACAGGAACCAGATTCATCCTCACTTGAAAAAAACCAAAGACACAAATTACATGAAAAAATCCGGTTTTCAAAACGCTTGACAATAGGCAACAAAAGACAGTTACGGGGAAAACGACACCAGTCTTAGGATTAGCAAGCTTACTCTTTTCAGAGTTTCCAAGCTATAATGCAAGGAGGGAGAATACAGGGGCACACTGCAAGTTGAGAAGACAGAGCTGAGCGTCCAGAGAAACCACAGCAGCTAGAATTGTAGGGACTGGAGAGAGCTGTACAGAAAAAGAACTTCAGAAATTTGCAGAGCACCACCCAACCCCCACCTTGCAAGTCATCAGGTGAGCTGCGTTCTGATTGCGTATGCATGTGAGGTAACTACCTAAGATGATGGGGAAAAAACATCTGAAAGATTCAGGACAGTGTCTGGTGCTCATATGGAGCCAGGAACAGTGCCCATTCTCACCCGTGAGATTGGGAAACGGGATTCATGAAGCTTGGGATGGAATACACAGGTCTTGTCTCAGTAATGGGGAACAATTAACCCTAAGCTGAACACTGCTCTGGTCCTGCCTTACAGATCTTGCCTAACAGCAAAACCTGCATCCTGAAACAAAGCTCTGGTATTTTTATAGTATTTTTATAACAATACAAAAACATCCAGTACTCAATTCATAGTGTCTGGCATTCAATCAAAAATTACCAGGTATGGACAGAAGCAGGAAGATACGATCCATAATGATGAAGGAAAATTTACCAAAACCAACCCAGACCTAACATACGCATATGAAAATTAGCAAGTAAGGATATTAAAGCAGATAATTATAACTGTACGCTCTATTTTCAAAAAGTTGAGACATAGAAAAAATGGTCCAAAGTCAAACATTATAGGTGAAAACTAGAATGTGGGAGATAACCTGTTCAAACTATTGTTACCAGAGTTCTACACAGCTCTGGAGGCATTACTTACCATACAGTAAAATAATTATGAAATGAGTATTAGTCCAACCTGAAAATATTTGTTTAATACCACTGGGTATTAATTAAACCAATCAATGAAACCATTAACAATCATCTGAACAACAGGAAAGGGTTCCTCTATAATTTTTCCTTTGTAAATCCCCAAATAAAGCTTTCTTTGTCATGCATAACTTCTCAAGTAACTGAAACCAATGTTTGGTAGGTTTCATTTTCCAATATTTTACTGCAGTCTTCTAGACATATTTAGGTTTAAATCTTAAGAGATTCATATAGTCTCTGAGGACCCTAATTAAACCCATGGAATCCAAAATTCTTAAAGAAAAATTTATTCTCTTATTTAAAAAAATTAATCACACACAGAGACGTGGAGATTTTTTTTTAAAGAGTATTACCACCAGCTTCTACTTTTGCCAATTTCTAGTCTTGCCACTTGATTCCTAGTTGACCCAGATGTAAAAATACAGAATAATTTTTTCATATCATTGGTACCACTACCAGTGTTTCATCAATTTCCTGAAGTGAACTGCGAAAAATAACAAACACACATTTAAGAGTCAATATTTATTCTGATTAATATTTTACAAAATTTTGACAGATTTAATTTATGTAAGGAGAGCTAACTTATTAAACACTTTACAGGTTTTTCTTTCCACAGAGTAACACAGTAAGTAGCAAAATAACACTTGGCACAGTTATAAATAAAGAAAATACAAAATAAAAATATCCATGATGCTGTTTTATGCTTATTAATATTTCAAATAAATTCCTGGAAACAACAAAAACATAAGGAAAAAATTCCAAAGAAGTAATCCATGTTCAGAACTGAGAAATAAGTTTCTATTTGCTAAAAGTATCCAATTAAGCTGAAATGAACTATTCCCCAAAGGGTCATCTTCATACACAACTTTTTAAAACTGGTTCCACATACAAGGTAACAAAATAATTAGACAGTACGCTGCTGCATAGTTGGCTCCTGACCATCTGACCATTTCTAAGTTATAGATTCACTGGTACTATGAGATGGTTAGTATTAAAGCATTAACATTGCTAATATTTTCCATGTACTTATACAGCAAGAGTGGTTTTTTTTTTCCTATTTAACTGAAAGACATCTCTTTTGCACTGAAAAGAATATTGTACCCCAAAGAAAGAACATGGTAACAACACTCTCACCCAAATTCTGAGAAAACAACCACTGTAGTTGACTGTTAATAAAAACGTATTAGATAAAAACTGCAACTGAGTCTTTATGTGAAGTGGCTCAAAATACAAAAAATTAAAACAAATTCTAGCCTTTTATAAATAACTTTGAATTTAAAAATTATCTAAAATTTCCCCCAATTAGTCAAAACTAGCAGAGACATTTGTAAAGTTAACCAATTTTGTACATTCTATGACAAAATGGCACAATGCTATTGCCACCCCACACCCATCTCTTCCCTTTTCAAAAATAAAGTATGCCAATTTTCTAATATTAAAACACTCACATACACTAAGGATAATCTTTTTGATGTGTGGCTTACGGTCAAAGAAACTACTATATAAAAATGGTACTTGGAAATACTGAACATCAACTATATACATTTTCACTGCTCCTCTTACTAAGGCAAGGGGCGGGTGTACCACTAGATTGCTTTAATACCTGTAATCTGCATTTTACAGAGAATACTAATTTTACCAAGCATCAGACATGCAGTGAACTTGCAGGGTATAATGCCTATTAACAGCAATATTGAACATCACTAGAAGCTCCTTAGTTATCTCCCTTTTCTTTTTGGTTGGATAGAATGAAATGAGCAGCTTTAAATACACTAACACATAGAGACACAAAGAGAAAACTATTTGATAAATTATTTATATACAGATACACAATCTTTACACTGGTCTAGGATCTGTCATCAGTCTGACCACCCTTTTCCCACCCTCCCCCAGCCCATTCCCTCTCACAGGTTTCCCACAGGTTGCTCGAACCACAGTTTGCTACAGCAAAGAGGACTAAACCAAATCTCACTCTGTAAACAATATTTATGGAAGCAGTGACTAATAGTTTACCATGAGAGTATGGAAATGCTGTAACAAAAATTGATCAGTGCATCACGTTTAACAGTAAGAAAATCTTTCTGAAATTGTTTCAGACAGCATTAACAAATTTCAAAACATTCAATATTTGGGAAAATTGAAACAGTCTTGGGGATAAAATACTTTCTGATGGATCATTTTTTAAAAACCAGAATATACCGTTAGCTTTTCTTTTATTCACATGTGCTATATGTACAGAGATCATGCTCCATCTTTAGCTAAATTCCATTATTTTGTCTACAATTTATTTTGCAGTATATCCATTCATCTCTATTACTGAGAATTCTGCATCAACTTATTTGTTCTGCCTTTTCTTGAAAGTAGCTCAACTCTTATTAAAACCTGGACTATTTGCTCATCAAATTAAATTCTAATTTATGCTTTACTGGATAGTGTTTGCTAGTAGTATACATTCTATGAGGTGTATCATGCACTTAGTAGGGCTTTTAAGTTGAACAAAATAACATGACTTACTATAATCATGCAAGTGCTTTATTATCAGACCATAAAACCTTAGAGCAAGGTTACTACAAATTATTTCACTGAACTAGAAATAAATCAGCATTGCAACAGCTGATAGCAATAAAATATCGTTAGCACATTTTTTTGGTGAATGTTATTTCCTTGTGCCTTTAAAGACACATTACAGTAGATCCCTAATAAAACCACATGATTTTCATCACAGTATTTACATGTACATTCTAAAATGTACATAATACTAGTCTGAAGCAATTTAAGACAACTCTCTTGGAATTAAATGCAATACTAATAGTAGATCGCATCGTAAAATTTAGCTGTATACCATGTATTTAGTTTTAGCTTGAATCGAACGTTTCTGACCAGTATACCATTACCATGTCTGTCAACAGAATAAAGTCACTCTTTTTTCATGAAAAATGTTATGAGAACAAAACCAAAAAGTTGAGTATGTTGTGAATTCCCACATTAAGAAGCATTAAAATTCTTTTAAAGGTCTTTAATCTTCCCAGAAGTGGCAGTGTGTTCTGTCCACGTTTACTTTTGTTAATAAAAGTGTTGAAAAAAAGACTGTAAAATTCACTGTTAGCCCTACGTATAGCATGCGATTTGTTCAAAGGATGTGGATTCGAGTGTGAGAGAGACACGGACAGACACAATTTTCAGGCACCGCTCAGCAATATGCTTCAGAGGATAAAGATGCTGCTACACAAGCTGGTACCCAGATCCTGATATTTGGTCATATTCTATTGTATACTGTCTGGTCCAGTCCACGGTAACAGGACGAAAGAGGCCACAGCATCGAAATTCAAAGAAGTCTATAATATTCCTTACACATCCATGGCTAAACACCCCCCAAAAAAGAGAAAAAGAGAAAGTCCATTAGTACAACGACTTAATATATGAGTTTAATATAACTTTGGTGTTAAATTTATTTTTTTCTAAACTTAAAAACTCAGGTTGCCAGAAAGTACCTGCTTAGAACTCTATAAAATACATAGGCACTCATGTTTCTTCACAGCTCTGACAGCACCAATTTTTCTCTTTTGCCAATTTAATGGGCAGCACAATTATATCTTAAAGTTATTCAAATTTGCATTTCTTTCATTCCTGTGTCTTATGCAATTTTTGATAAAATCTTTCCTCACTGGTGGCTCCTTGGCAAGGAGACAAACTATTTCCAAAATTGAGAAAGTAAAGGACAAAATAATATAAATAGCATGAATATGACACTGTACCCAAGAGTAACAATTTAAGAAAAAGAAATGTCAAAGAAAAGTTCCCAGAATGTTAGGACTTCAAGAACACCTTCGTAAAAGTGGTCAGTTTTAAATCTTACATAATTATTCTGCTTATGGTAGAATTCTTAAAACTTCCCAACTGATTCTCATATTTTTGCTTTTATTTAAAAAGGTTTGCATGTTTCCAAGAAGCCGCAACAATTAACAGCACCACAAAAGCCTGAAGGTAGTAGACAAGAAGCTTTAGTAAAACTCAAAGTTTTAAATATTTCATAAAATTAGGAAACTACCGTTTCTTGGCTTCAGACTGAATGCAAATTAAAAATGTATATAAAAGAATAGGATAATCTCTTCGATAAATGGTGTTGAGGAAACGGGAGAGTCAAAAGCAAAAGAACTCAACTGGACCACTGTCTTACAACATATACAAAAACTAACTCAAAATGGATTAGACCTGAGTGTAAGAACTACAACCAGAAAACACAGGTGTTAATAAGCTCCATGACATCAGTCTTGGTGATGAAATTTTCAAAATCTGACACCAAAAGCAAAGGCAACAGCAGCAAAAATAAGCAACTGAGACTATGTTATACTAAAAAGCTTCTGCACAGCAAAGGAAACTGTCAACAAAATGAAAAGGCAACCTACTTGAATGGGAGAAAATATCTGCAAATCATATACCTGATAAGGGGTTAATATCCAAAATATATAAAGAACTCATACAACTCAAATGCAAAGAAGTAAAGAATCCAATTAAAAAACAGGCAGACAATGAACAGACATTTTTCCAAGGAAGACATACAGAATGCCAACAGACACATGAGAAGATGCTCAACATCACTAATGTTTACGGAAATGCAAATCAAAACCACAATGGAATGGCTATCATCAAAAGGACAAGAAATAACAAGTGTTGGCGAGGATGCGGAGAAAAGGTAACTCTCGTACACTGTTGGTGGGGATGTAAATTAGTGCGGCCACTATGGAAAACAGTATGGCGGTTCCTCAAAAAACTAAACACAGAACTACCGTATGATCCAGCAATTCCACTTCTGGGCATTTATCTGAAGGGAACAAAAACACTACAGTATTTGCACCCTCATGTTCATTACAGCGTTAGTTAACAACACGCAAGATATGGAAACTACCTAACTGTCCAGTGATAGATGAATATATTTTAAAAATGTGATACACACACATAGGAATAAAGTTCAGG